TACAACCAAATTATATGTGACCAAGGAGTTAGAACCAATCCCTGGAGCAAGGGTAGTCTCTTCAACAAATCATACTGGGAAAACTGGATCTCCACATGCAGAAGTATGAAGCTGGACCCCTACCTTAAACCTTACAGAAAAATCCATTCAAAGTGGTTTAAAGACATAAATCTATATCCTGATACCATCAAATTATTAGAGAACATTGAGGAAACCCTGAAAGGTATTGGCATAGGCAAAGAGTTCTTGGAAAAGACCCTAGAGGCACAGGCAGTCAAAGCCAAAATTAACAAATGAAATTTCATCAAATTGAAAAGCTTCTGTACTGAAAAAGAAACAGTCAGGAAAGTAAAGAGGCAAATGACAGAATGGGAGAAATTATTTGCAAACTATGTAACTGATAAAGGATGAATAATCAGAATACATAAAGAGATCAAGAAACTCCACAACAACAAAACAAACAACCCAGTTAAGAAACGGGAAAAAGACTTAAACAGACATTTTTCAAAAGAGGAAATCCCAATGGCTCACAGACACATGAAAAAGTGTTCAGTATCACTAACTGTCAGGGAAGTAAAAATCAAAACCACAATGAGGTTTCACCTCACCCCCATTAGAATGGCTTTCATACAGAAATCAGCAAATAACAAATGCTGGCAAGGATGTGGGGAAAAAGGTACTTGAAACTGCTGTTGGTGGGAATGTAAACTGCTAAATCCACTATGGAAGACAGTATGGAGAAACCTCAGAAATCTGAATACAGACCTACCATATGACCCAGCCATCCCACTCCTGGGAATTCACCCAAGGGAAATGAAATCAGCAAATAAAAGACTTATCTGCACCCCCATGTTTATAGTAGTTTGATTCACAACAGCTAAGACATGGAATCAACCTAAATGCCTGTCAACTGAAGACTGGATAAAGAAATTATTGGATATGTACTCTATGGAATACTATACAGTGCCTGACTGTTTCTTTTTCAGTACAGAAGCTTTTCAATTTGATGAAATTTCATTTGTTAATTTTGGCTTTGACTGCCTGTGCCTCTAGGGTCTTTTCCAAGAACTCTTTGCCTATGCCAATACCTTTCAGGGTTTCCTCAATGTTCTCTAATAATTTGATGGTATCAGGATATAGACTTTTTTTTTCTCTTCTTCATACTAGTTGTTGAACTCTTAACATAGAGTTAATCATATGTGTATAAAGCCAATTGAAAACAGATCTCACATCTCCGTGAGTGAGATCCTGGTGGAAAGAAGGGCCATCAAAGGAGGATGTACTTTTCTCTGAAGGGATGAGAGAATTTCCACTTTGATTATGGCCTTGTTCTAAATACTGACAGAGTTTGTGGACTCAAAAGGCTTCCACAGCTTTGGCAGCTCATGACAAGAGCCTTGGGTGACTGCTGATGTCATAAATAAGAGTGTCAATTGTTAAATCAACATCAGGAGTCACTGTGCACTTGCTCCCCACGTAGCACCTCTGTCCTTAAAGTGTTGTACTATGAGAATTAATGGTAAAACTAGTCTTCAAACAGTACTTTACACTTTGTGTTTCTGTGTGGGTGCAAACTGTTGAAATCTTTACTTACTATAGAGTTAATCCTCTGTATATAAAGATAATTAAAAATAAATCTTAATGAAGAATGGGCTGGCAGAGAGTGTAGGAGGTGGAACAGGAGTGAGAGTGGGAGGGCAGGTATGGAGAGAAGAACTGCTGTTCCTAAAGCTGTTCCTATGACATTTATATTTATTAAATAAAGCTTTAAAAAGAGAAAATAGATCTCATGAAAAAATAAGAATGGGGAAAAAAGATTTATTTATTTACTTGAAAGGCTGGGTTACAGACAGATAGGCACACACACACACACACACAAACACAGGGAGATGTTTCATCCACTGAACCAGTGGTTCACTACTCAGATGGCTTCTACATTTGGGACTGGTTGTGGCCGAAGCAGGAGCCCTGAGTTTCATCTGTGGACCCAAGTACTTGAGCTATCATCTATTGCTTTCAAAGGTGTGCATTAACAGGAAGTTGGATCAGAAACATAGTAGCCAGTACTGAAACCAGGCACTCTGAAATGGTATGCAAGTGTCCCAAGCAGCTTTTCTGCTCCACCAAATGCCTGCCCTCTCTAGATTACTTATAATCCACCTAACACAACATAAATGCTATAAAAATAGTTGTTTAGAAAATAGTGACAAGAAAACTACATGTTCAGTTCGGATGCTATGTTTTGTCCACTGTAGTTTCAACCCACAATGGGTTGAACCTATGAATGCAGAACCCATAGAGGGAGCACCAATTGTCCTTGCTTCAGCATTCAGATGGAGAGAAGTGTGAAGAGGGAGAAAGTACCACTGTGAAGAGGAGGTGAGACAGAGATCCCCCACAGTCACTTTTCTACACTGGTTTTCAGGTACTTATGAGCGAGAATATAAGGAAACTAAAGATCAGGAATTGATTCCTTAAAGCTAAGTGCCTCGTTTTCCATTTTGAAGGCTACTAGTCTGATGTTTATATTCAAAATCAAAATGGCTGACATTGTGTCTCCTAAGCTGTGTGACTGTTTCACCAAAGCCACATCACTGAGGACATTTTCTTGCCTCTCAAGGATTCCAGAACAAACTTTCTGAAGATCCATATATTTGGATCTTAAGAGTCATCTAACTTTAGGAAAATGCCACAGTCACTTCATTTAAATAAGTGGTGATCAATGAGTGTCTATGAAAAACTCTATTTCTTTCTATAATTTGGCTTGTGACAACCTCTGGACATATTTTTATTCATGACTTCCACATTTCTTTCTTTAAATGGAACTATTAATTTATACCAACCAAGATAGTACACTGTTATTTATTTACATTCTGTATGCTGGAGCACAAATGCCTGTCAGGCCTGGCCTTCATCTTGTAATTGCAAAATAAACAGCTTTCTCATGGAGAAAGTTACTAGAAATATTGGGTACAGTACCCAGGAGAACCAGGGTTCAGGCCTGCCTAACCTACTTTCTGAAGATAAACCAAGCCAAACAAGCTATCAAGGCAGCTTACTCTCAGGGCAAAAAAATTCTGACTTGTAAATTTATGGATGTGATTGAAAAGGAAAGTAATTTCCTTTTTTTTTTTTTTAAAAATGTACTTATTTATTTGAAAGTCAGATTTACACAGAGAGAGAAGGAGAGGGAGGGAGGGAGGGAGGGAGACGTCTTCCATGTGCTGGTTCACTACCCCATTGGCCCCAATGGTTGGAGCTGTAGAGATCCGAAGCCAGGAGACAAGAGTTTCTTCTGGGTCTCCCAGAAGGGTGTGGGGGCCCAAGCACTTGGGCCATCTTCCACTGCTTTTTCAGGTCATAGCAGAGAGCTAGATCAGCAGTGGAGCAGCTGGGACTCGAATCGGCACCCATATGGGATGCTGGCACTGCAGGTGGCAGCTTTACCCACCATGCTGCAGCACCAGCCCCATGAAAAGTACATTTCAAAACTAGAATAATAGCCCTTCTCCAGTAGAACATAGTTAATTCTACTCTAAAGACTGAGCAAATGTGTGCCAAATTCAAATCTTAAAGAAAAGTTCACTAGTTAATAGGGCAAACGCCTCAACATTGTAAAACAAACAAGATTTGAAGTGCAGACAATCTTATTTTAAAATTAGCAAGCCCACAAGAACACATTTATAATAAGGCACAGCTTAAGTAAGGCATCCCTCCTACTTGGTTCAAGAAGTGATACAGGAAGAAAGTGGTCCTGTGAATTCCAGTAGCCAATGACCTAGGGCTGTGCTCTGAAAGGCAGCCAGGACAAAGGTATTGCATCCAGAAAAGAAATTTCAGATAAGACCCAGGGCTCAGAACCATGTACATGAGGATTTTTTCCCCTCTGAAAAATGAACCATTTCTACCATTAGCTTTCTCTCAATCCTACAATTTCATGAAATTTGTTAAGGAATTTGAAATATTCCCAAATTAGTTTTTAAGTAGCATGAATACAACAAGTATATATTTTTCTCCTAGGGCTTCCTGCAATACACAACCTGTATATCTTTTAGGGAATGTAACACATTGAGTACACTTAAGTAGCCAAAATCCACAAAACTGTTGTTTTTTGAAAAGATAAAGTTTCCAGTCTAAGCTAGATCTAAAAACATTGGGTATTCCTATGGTATTCTTTCTGAAGTTCCTACAAGACAGAAAAATCTAAACAAAACAGAGGAGTAAAATACCTATTGAATTATTCTATTAATCCCAAGATATTATTTAAATAAGAAACTTATAACTGGGCAGAGTTAAATAGGAAGAATGCATTCAAATTTAAATAGTGGTTTACTATTGGGTACCAAGACAAGACTCAAAAACATTAAATTAAAAAATTACATTTATGTGGTTGAAAATCAAAAGGCATTGATATGATGTGAATTGATGTTCTTACAGTTGTGTAACTCTGCAGTCCTGTATTGCCTTCCTCCCTGACTTCCCATACATAGCAGTTTCTTGTATATTAATAACGAGGATTTTGAAATATAGAGGTGAGGAGTAGGAAAATGGGGACAGGAGAAAAGAAAAGTGAGAGTAGGAGTAAAGGACAATGGAAAGATGGAAGAAAGAGGAGAAAAACTGAGACGTTATATAAAGGATCAGCAACTTTCTCCCAGCCCTCTCTTGCAGTTATCCATTGTGTATTTTCAGATTTTGCATGTGAATAGAAGAGAAAGAAATGGGAAGAGTAAAAGAGGGGATAAAGGAGACATTTACCTGGAGAGGGGTAGTGGCAAGTTACTGGGAAATTTGATCCATGTGCATGTATTACTTGAATAAATTGAATTGCTTTGTCTTTGCATATGTAGCCTCAAACAAATATATTCTAATATTTTGCCATCTAGATCTTGAGAAAAAATTCAAAGCTATTAGGCATACTATTCGTGGAAGAAAGAAAAATTTGTAATCCTCTACCACCTCATACCGGAGATAAATTAAACTTTCTGCAGCACCAATTGGCCTGGTGAACTTCTCTCTGATTGCAAAGAGGCCTATTAACTGATTTTGAGGCACGATGAATGAAGGACTCCCATTAATGCTGTGCGCCAGCATTTTTGTTGACACCAACTCTTCAGCAGGTGGCAGCGTTCTCCTTGTTCCCAGGGGGTTTTGGTGTTTCCTTCCTTTCAAAACAGCACAGCCCTCACTGTCCCTTTTTGCTGAATCCACATATAAAGGTTGTCTCCTTTTTACCCTACTTTGGAAGATACTCTTCCACTAATTTTAGAAATGGAGAATGAGAAGCAAACTTTTAACTCGTGGCAATTCATGTTCACATTTGAACCTGAAGGCCCTAATCTTCATAAGCTAATTTCAGGACACAAAAGGGTACATTGTTGACTTAGCCCATCTTTCTATGTTCTAAACACAATTTATGACCTCTACATAGGCAGTCTAACTTTTCCCTTTGTTCACTCCCAAATAAGGCTAGAAAATGGCATTAAAAGCCACCCCTAGTCAATTTTCTCTAATTCATTTGTTTAGGTTTCTGTAAGAGCTAAGTTTTCTTCCCATCTTTTTTCAATGATGGGGTGTCAGGAAATTTTCCAGGCTCCAAGCCAGGATCCTTTAATGAGTTGTTATGCAATCTGGGTTAATAACACCCTTTGGGCTTCAGTTTCTTCATTTGTAAAATGGGATTGGTGAACTAGGGGATCCCTAAGATTTCTTTTAGATATTAACACTCTCACATCGTAAAGTAATTGCCATTGCCTTTAATCAAGTACCGTGGTGATACTGTGGTATTATATAATTGTTTCTGGAGGAATATTTCTTTCTTTCTTTCTTTCTTTCTTTCTTTTTTCTTTTCTTTTCTTTTCTTTTTTTTTTTTTTTTTTGGAGCAGCAAAGTTTATTAAATAGTACAAAGAGTGACACATAGACCTAATTGAGACAACTGACCTGGGGAAGATACAGTATTCAACTCATCTACTACATGACATCTCCATTTATGGCAGATACTCCCATGTATTTTTTTTTAAGATTATACTTATTTATTTGACAGAGTTACATACAATGAAAGGGAGAGACAGAGAAGTTCTTCTATCCACTGGTTCACTCCCCAAATGGCTACAAAGGCCGAAACTGGGCCAATTCGAAGCCAGGAGCCAGGAGCCTCTTCCGGGTCTCCCACCGTGGCTGCAGGGGCCCAAGCACTTGGGACATCTTCCACTGCCCTCTCAGACCATCAGCACAGAGCTAGATCAGAAGAGGAGCAGCCGGGACTGGAACCGACACTCATATGGGATGCCAGCGCCTTAGGCGGAGGATTAACCTGCATCACAGTACCGGCCCCTCCCACTTATTTCTATGGCGGAACAGACTCTAAAAAGACTGTTAGGTTTTAACACTAGAAATTCCTTAGTGTGCTTATTTATTTACAAATAAAGTTAGAGTTGAGCTTATGCCAGGTTAATTGATAATATTTTGATATTTAGTTTTAATTCTATTGGATAAAGTCACCTTTTTGCATTATGAAAATAATAAATGATCATTGTAAAAAATTCTGAGCAATATAGAAAGCAATAAATGAAAAGAAAAAATTGGAGATCAGTGTTATCTTCTCTCTGCTATTCTTCCATGCATTTGTGTAAAAATACATCATTTTTATTTCGTTGAATTTTAACAAAAATTTTGTGGAATATGTTGATCCTAGAGTATAAATATGCATGTAAATAAATGAGTCAACAAATAAGAAATTACAAGATTAAGGATCAATATAGAAAAGATATAGCTGCTAATCAAATTGTCAGCTTTTAGCGAGGATTCTTAGATGATAGAGATTCTAGGTAAAGTTGACCTAAGAGTACAGAGAAAACTGTTTTATTTTTGCTTTTGTTTCGATATTTAGGAGTCATTTATATATGAGAGAGATGAGCACTAACGTCCATCCTTCCATCCCTGTACATGCATTTCCACCTTCCCACCACAAGGTGAAGTCTCTTTCCCTTCTCTTGAATCTTGTGGCCAACAGAAGGAGGCAAAAATGATGCTAATACAGTTCTGGGCCTAGACCTAGACCTAGCAATTAAAAAAAAAAAAAAATCTATTTTGTGAGAGACTGCCACAGAAAATAGCTCCAGGAGAGATTTGGGACATGGAAATCATAGACAATAATGGAGTGTTCTCTTTTATGATATAGTTACTCAGTTGACCCATGGCAGTGTCCTCTGGAGAACGTCTTGGGTAAACTGAAAGAACAACAATATTTGTTCCTAGAACAAATGAAATAAAGGAAAAACCTTCGGACCCTTGGAAGAATGAGACCATTTAAATTCAGGCCAGTAATTATTATATTTTTCTATCCTGATTATTTGGAAAACACTGGCTAAACAGATAAAAATAGAGAAGATTGCTTAACAATGAAAACCATTGACTTAAATCTCTTTTTGAAAGGTCAGTGTGTGGGAGATGAGAAAGGCACTATAGCAATCACAGTGTTCACACAAAAGACATTTTAGCTACAGCATCTAGAAGAGCACAGCAACTATTTATATTGCTCACATCCAGGGCTGGGTCATTTCATGTATCAAAGAAAATAGGAATTTGGGGGGGTGTATTCTTTGGGTGGAGTAACAATACAGTTTTGGAAGCAGCTGTTAGAAACTATAATTAAAGCTGGTTTATCACGTCCACTAATTATTCTATATAATCTCCTGAAGCTTTACATCAATCTCCCTCTTTTACATTTTCTGTTTCTCCCTAGGTCCTTCTCAATCTAGACAGGCTAAGAAACAAAGTACCTGGAGGCCAGTATGTTGTAATAGCTGGACATTCAAGCAGCTATTTTCAACTGAACCTAAAAATATATTAAAAATTTTTTTCTTTGCATTACATCAGGTCAGCTATTTAGAAATTTCAGTTCTATCTCTAGGTTAAAGGGGCCCTTAAGTAAAAGGAGAAAGTGAAGAAAAACAAACACTGAAAAAAGATTCATCAGTATTTCTTTCAGGAACATAACCCTAGGAAGGGAAGGAGGCTTTTATTCAGCTTGTCCTACGGACCACCTCCTGCCGCTGTCAGGATACTGAAATAACTGCCAACATCGGTGATCCTTTCATTCACCACTAGAGAGAAGCAGAGGGACCTGATACTCAGAGAAGCAGCAAAACCCATTTTCCACTTCCCTTCAGCTGGAAGTGCTTGTAGGCTTGTCTCATATTCCAGCACTTCCTCTCCACTTCAGAATAACTCTGGGTCGTGGGAATCAAAGAGGATCCTCTCTCCTGAAGCCCGACATTACCAGCAAAGATAGAAATAAACCCTGTTTCATTTTCTTGCAAGGAAGCAGACGCTGTGAGACTAATCACCACCAGGGTAGGCTCCAGGGGAGAGGCAGAGTAGAGCAGTGCTAATAGCAGGTACTCTGGGGACAGAGACAGGCAACCTGAGAAACAAATGTGGAACACTTAACCAGCCGCAATCTACCTCCCCTCATTTAACTGTGTCTTCATTTCCCCTTTTCCTCCCAAGCAGCAGTTGATACCCATTGAGCACAGCTCTCCTTTTTACCATGCAATACCTAAACATCAGGGACTCCTTAGCCCAGGTTATTTGTAAAATAAAGAAATCTCTAGCTCACACTAGGTTGTGTGGACAGGGTTTCCATCTTTGGAAACCAAAGGAAGCCTTTTTCTTCTTTCCAGATTACTCTCCATTTCCTTTTCCACTTAGGATCCCTGCCTCCCTGGAGCTGACCAGAAGCATGCACAAAACCAGTCTCCAATAAATACCAGCACCGAGGCTTCAGCGGGTTGCTAACTCCTGCAGTGCTATCTTAAAAGGATGTTGTATATAAATGCAGTTTTATGTAGCCTCAGAGGTCCCTAAATATCCCCGGTTTAATTAGCAGTCCTGGAGTTAGGTAATGGCCTGTGGCTCTCTGAGCTGGGCCTCCTGAGGTTTCTAGTCTTCAGGGGCTGCCTGTAATGATGATGTGCACATTTACAATCTTCCTCACAAGAAAACTCGGCTTTAGACCTTTCTAGGTATCTACTCACCATTTATCACAACACATGTGCCAACTGATTCCCATTTTCTCAGATGTCAAAAAAAAAAAAAAAAAAAAAAAAAAGAAAAAAGAGAAAAGAAAAAAACAACCTAGGGCTTCAGCCTGGTCTAAGTCAGATACTTCTGAACTCAAATTTTCCCCTGGAATTCTACTTTCCTGGAGCGGGGCGCCGGGTGGGGTGGGAGGAGAGTGGGGGGAAATGAAAGAGAGAAAAAAAAATTCGTAGGTTGGTGTTGGTTGACGCCCCTTCTCATTTTGAAGCTGACTGATGTGCGTATTTTGGGGAGGGGGTTGAGGAGGCGCTCTAGGTCTAAGCATTTGTGAACCAGCTCACTCACTGGATAGGTCAACCACGGGGCTGCAGAAAGACTTGACAGGTTTGTTCTGGGCATACGGCCAAGGACTAGACCAGATAAGGCACTTGGCTGAGTCTACAGTAGGTGGGGCGTGCTCACCAGTGCAGGGGTAGCGACTCAAAAGTTTGTTGCAACACCTGCAATCCAAGCAGCAGGCGCAGCGGGAACGAGCCTTTGGCCCCGACAGCACGGAACCAGAGGGTTCACCCCAACCAACGAGGGAGATGCGCCAGATCCCTCGGGCCCGGCCCCTTTTCCCACGGTTGAGAACAAGCAGTGCTTGTCAATCCACAGCAGAGAGAGCTCACTCCGTGGGTAGCAGAAGGGTGGGAGCAGCGGTGCACGGGAGCGGGGGCACGTGCTTGGATGGGGGTGCCTGCCCAGCAGCTAGCCCAGACAGCGATCCTGTGGAGGCTCCACTGGCCATCCCCAACCCCGTCCCTCTGCAGCCTGGGAGGGTGTGGGGGTGCTGCCCGCGCCAGGCGGGAGCACCCCGAGCGTAGCTGGCGAAGCACTTGCCTCCGGAGCTACGCTTGGAGGAGTGGGAATTTGGAAAGTTCCCCAACTCGGAGCACACGTGACCCCTTCCTGAAAGTAGTTCCGACGGTGGCTCGGGTATCCTTCCACCCCCTTTTGAACCCTCCTAGGGCTCCTCGCCCCGCCCACTCGCGGGGCTGCCGCTTCCTACCGTCCTGAACGCCGCGCCCGGGCCGGCAACCTGGGCCTCCAGCGTGCACCGGCCGGCCCGGCGAGCGCGGAAGCTGGCCGCGGGCGATTCATCGTGCCAGGTTTTCTCAGCGGCCCGGAGAGTGGGCGGGGCGAGGCAGCCTCTGAGGACCGAGCTCGAGTTCGACGCCGCGAACGGACCCGGAGCCTGAGGGGACAGATGCTCAGCTCTCCGGGGGCCGCGGAGGGAGCTGTGGGGGTGCGTCCCGCTCACGGGGATCCTCTTTAAGGCGGCCTAGGCAGGAGGCCCTCGGGCCCTGGGAATTCGGGGCGGGGGGCGACGTGTGCACTCTAGCGCGCCCGGCTGAGAGCTTTCGCTTTTCGGGCAAATGAACCGAGTAGCTGGGGCAGCGAGAGGTGGGGCGGTGACTGGAGCCGGATGAGGCGAGACGCGCCGCCGGAGACACAATAGGGGGTCGTTCTTTGTGCTGAGGCTGACACCTTGAGGACCCGGGGGCGGCGGCGGCGGCGGCGGCGGCGCGGGCGCTCTAGGCAGAGGCTGCGACAGTGACATCCCTGCGAACCGCCGCGATCGTCCACAGCGGGACAAACGGAGTGCGTGCGTTCGCACACCATGGCGGGGGAGGGGTGTCCTCGCGGCATTTCCCTAGATACTGACCCGCGCGGTCCACCTGTGCACAGGTAACCTCACACTGCAGTCGGCGACACCGCTCAACGCACCAGTCTCAGTTTTCATCATCCACCTTCCTCCGCCCCCACGCCGCCCCGCCGCAGTCTGCCCTGGCTCCGGCCGGGTGTCCGGGCAGAGGCCGAGGCTGAGCTCGTTCCCCCGCCCCGAGCTGCTGCAGGAGCAGCCGCGGCAAGTGCAGCTACGGGCGGGCGCCTCGGAACAAGCCCGAGCGAGCCCCAGGCAGTCACACTGGGCATGCTCAATAGCACCAGCAGGTTGGGGGCCCTGCGCTCGCACCTGGAGCTGCCGCCCCCGCCCCCCACCCCACCCCGGCGCGGCCCAGCCCTCCCCTCCCCCGGCGCGGTCCCGTCCGCCTCCAGCTCGCCCCCCGCCTCCCCTCGGGCTCCCGAGGCGGCCCGGCTCCCGGCGCGGCGGCGGCGGCGGAGGGGGCGGGCAGGCCGGCGACGGTGATGTGGCGGGACTCTTTGTGCACTGCGGCAGGATACGCGCCCGGGCGCTGGGACGCGGCTGCGCTCAGTTCTCTCCTCTCGGAAGCTGCAGCCATGATGGAAGTTTGAGAGTTGAGCCGCTGTGAGGCTAGGCCCGGCTCAGGCGAGGGAGATGAGAGACGGCGGCGGCCGCGGCCCAGAGCCCCTCTCAGCGCCTGTGAGCAGCCGCGGGGGCAGCGCCCTCCGGGAGCCGGCCGGCCTGCGGCGGCGGCAGCGGCGGCGTTTCTCGCCTCCTCTTCGTCTTCTCTTCTAACCGTGCAGCCTCTTCCTCGGCTTTTCTTGCGAGGGAAGGTGGAAGCCGTGGGCTCAGGCGGGAGCCGGCTGAGGCGCGGCGGCGGCGGCGGCGGCGGCGGCACCTCCCGCTCCTGGAGCGGGGGGGAGAAGCGGCGGCGGCGGCGGCGGCCGCGGCGGCTGCAGCTCCCGGGAGGGGTTCGGAGCCGCCTGTCACCATTTCCAGGGCTGGGAACGCCGGAGAGTTGGTCTCTCCCCTTCTACTGCCTCCAACACGGCGGCGGCGGCGGCGGCACATCCAGGGACCCGGGCCGGTTTTAAACCTTCCCTCCGCCGCCGCCGCACTCTCCCTGGCCCGGGCTCCGGAGGCCGCCGGAGGAGGCAGCCGTTCCGAGGATTATTCGTCTTCTCCCCATTCCGCTGCCGCCGCTGCCAGGCCTCTGGCTGCTGAGGAGAAGCAGGCCCAGTCGCTGCAACCATCCAGCAGCCGCCGCAGCAGCCATTACCCGGCTGCGGTCCAGAGCCAAGCGGCAGCAGAGCGAGGGGCATCAGCTACCGCCAAGTCCAGAGCCATTTCCATTCTACAGAAGAAGCCCCGCCACCAGCAGCTTCTGCCATCTCTCTCCTCCTTTTTCTTCAGCCACAGGCTCCCAGACATGACAGCCATCATCAAAGAGATCGTTAGCAGAAACAAAAGGAGATATCAAGAGGATGGATTCGACTTAGACTTGACCTGTATCCATTTCTGCAGCGGCAGCTCTCTGCCTTTCTGTCACTCGCATAACGTGGGAGTAGACGAGTGCGAAAATGTTCCGTAGTTTGGGGTAGCTGTAGCGTTGAGCCCTGGTCAGATTTCCAGAGCATGGATTTTTGTGTCTCTTTTCGGGTGTATTCCGCCCAGGGTGTGTTCAGCTAGACGGAACTCGTGCCTGGTTGCAAGTGTCAAGGCACTGATTGGTTTCGTAGTGCATGTATGTGGTCTCTTCCTAAGGGCCATTGTCCGTTAATGCCGAATACTGTACACTGTTGATGGATTAGTGGGCTCGATAATCCGGTCTTGTAGGTGAACGAAAAAGTAGACGCTTGGAGATTGAGCATATTTCGATTCAATCTTGTTAGGCCCTAGATCAAGGGTATAGATCAGATTAAAATGAAAATTAGTGTTCCGCGTCCGCATATTGCATCAGAATCGCGCAGTGATTTGTTTTTAGTTTCTAGGGTTGCATTGGTAGATTCTTTTAAAAATGTGAATTGTGGACTGATTGGTGTAAGTTTAGAAGCAAAACCATTTTCAGTATATGTGGTGTGTGTGGGGAGGGCAAAAGTAGGTTTGTATGTGTAAATGAAGTTAATTACAGCTTGCAACTGCACTTAGAAGTTTTGTAGTTTGAAATCAGTAGTGCCACAGTGCACCTTATAAGGTTCGATTCACTAAATCTTTGTTCAGTTAGCCGTTTTCTCTCCTAGTGGGTGATGTAGAATCCGGAGTAAAATTTGCATTTCCAGTAGCGTTTTATGTTGAATGCTCTTTTCATGATGGAATGGAGACTGAGTAGTTCTTGATCCCAGATGATAATGTGCAGGTTCAAGGGTAATGTGTGTAGCAAGTAGTAGTTGCAGAGATTAAACCTCAGTTCTCACTTGAAATGTAAGTATTACTGTGATGCCAGAATTAGTACTCACCTTCTTCAGGTTTCAGGTCCTCTGACACCTTTTGGGTATCCGTTAATTCTACTCTGATTTACGTGCAATGTCAGATATAATCTACCAGCTAATATCCAGAAATGGTACCAAGAGCGATTACTGCAGCTCCAGATTGTAGGTGTGTTAGCTTCTTTTTTCATACGGTGGATTGAATGTACTGAGTCAGCTTGTTGAATAAGACAGAAACCCAAGAATTTCAACGATGTGTAGTTTTGGTTGTTTAAAAGTTAGGCCTTTGTACTTCAAAAGTTAGTGGTTATAGAAAAGCATTAGTATTTTTTGCAGTTTCAAGTGCAACACCTTGGTTTTGATCAAGGATGGGAATAGAGCCCTCCTTTTTTTTTTTTTTTTGCAGAATGGAAAGTATTGACAGGAATTGAGAGTTATTGGTAGACCAGGAGTGTCTAAGATGTGTGAAAACAATTCAGTTACTGGTCTGAGGTGAGTGAAGCATTTAAGCTCTGTCAAGGCCTCTGTTAAAGACCAAAAATTTGGTGATGTAAATTTTAGCAGCGGACAATGTTTAATGTAATTGCATAAGTTTTTATAGGGTATTCTTGATAAAAATCATTCCTTAGGAAATAGCAGTATATGTTTTGTTTAAAAGTAGAGCTACACTAAAGTGTCCACATGCTCTGCTAAAAATTGTGGGGAAGATTTTTTTTAAGAAAATGTTTTGTATTGAAAGATTTCATTCCTTGGGATTGTATCACCTGCACATAATTCTGCCAAAATTTTTGTTTCAAGTGAAGATAAGACTTAACTGTAGAAGTAGCGTCACAAAACTTAGTTTTCTATTAAGTTAGAGACAAAATTTTAAAAGAGTGGAAATTTTGGAGTCTGAATTAATTGAAAAAACATCACCAAGGCTGAACTTGATCCTCTTGCCTGGAAGATAATTATGGAATTTTTTTTCTTTTTTTTTTCATAAGCAGCTTATTATTAATGTGAATTAATGACTATCTTCTAGATGTATAAGGATCAAACTAATATTTTTTAAAAACCTCCAGTCAAAAAAATTACTAGAGTGCTCTCTGGTAGACAGATTTCTTTCAGCATTCAAAGTATGTTTATGCTGTTTTACTTTTCTTATTTGATTTAAAATTGTAACAGTTGCAAAACCTTAAAATTACTTTCCCAGGTTCTTTTATGTGATCCATGAAGTGATCGGTAGTTTCTCCTTTAATTTCAGAGTACCAGGACCTCTACACATGATGTTTATTTAACTTAGAAGTTTCTCTAAAACTATGCTTTTAGAGAATGCATAAAAAGCAGTATCAAAAATTACATCAAATGACTAATAAAACTTAATTTCCAGAGTTGTGGTTTTATTGAGCCAAATGTTAATGACGAAAAAAAGTCAGTAGGGAACGTCAGTCAAGTCCTCGCTTTTTTGTTTGTTGCATTTCCTATAATTCTGATATACCACATCACTTTGGTTCTCTTGCTTTCGCTTTAGTGTTTTCTGTTTTGTGTATGTGTTTGTGTGGAGTGTGGAATTAAATGGTCATTGAAACATTCGTAGCAGGTTGAACTATCTGTTTCATCAGCTATCCTGTTAAAAGTTAAGTTAAATTCCTTTATGAAGGTAGTGATTAGAGTATTTTTATCTGATAAAGGTTAATGCTCAAGAGATTTCTTAGAGGAAGATTGAAGAAGATAGGACAATTTTAAGGTATTTTTGCAAAATTGAATTCTAAAAACTTGGGTTTTATTCTTAATAGTGTTAGCCTGGAAAGCAGTGGTAAATGTGAGGCTGTAAAAATTTGGTGTCATCTGGAAACTTTAGATTTCTGTTGTATTTTTATAGTTTAATAGATTTGCATCTTTCCAGATACTAATCTTCATAGGCAATATTTTTAACTTGTACAGAGTATAATGACTATTGAAGTTAGTGATAATATCTACTAAGGTAAGTGATTATTGAAGTTAAAAATGAGGTTTTAAGATTATATTCTCAGTCTTTATTTTGTGTTGTT